CAACAATTATAATAATAGGAACAGTATTAATTGTATAAACCATATAAAGTCAAACAGTTTGTGCTGACAAAATGATTAACTTCATTGATATAGATATATTAAATTTATAGAATGAGTTTCAATAATTTATTAGTATGAAATGAAAGACATGTTAGAAAACCAACAGCAGTAGAAAATATACTAATTTGAACCCTGGGTCCATTTTCAGTCGATACCTTCATGAATTGTGAGAAGTATCTCATTTTGTCAGCACACCTCACAAATAGTAACGAAACAAAACAATCATTCCTACAGATTACCTCTCTTTTAAAAAAACTAGCTCAAAGTGTTCTACAACATTACAACATTGAATCTTTCAAAGAAAAATAATAATAATAATAATAATAATAGATAGCATTTATATAGCGCATATCCCCGCTCAACAGCAGGCTCTAGAAGTAGGTGATTTGGCGATTCTGGTGAGGATCACCAGGGTAGTGACTTCATGCTCTGCTTGGAAATACATGCAGGTGGGCAGCACAGAAGTTTTGAATTCTGAAAGGAGGCAAAAGTGGGCTCCGGCCATAAAAAGTTTGACAAAAAACTGGGAGGGGAGATAAAACGAGAGCCGAACAGATGACATCGGGAAAGCACAAAGAAAACATGCCACGAAAGCAGAACAGAGGACATGGAAAGCGCAGAGAAAATATGCCACTCCATCACCAGAGAGACTGTGGCACTGAAGTGGTGCCCAACCCATCAACAAGAGCACACTTGCTTAGAGTCTGGGCTACTTAGCTATCCTTTCTTTGTCATACATGGCAAATCAGCAAGTCCATATATATACCAACACAGGACTTCCTGTTATTCAAAAATCAAAATGCTTACCCCTTTCCATCTCACAATTTTACTCTTTTCTCTCTTAAATAGTATAATAGTTTCATTCTTTTCGAATTTCTAAGAGAACTAAACCCAGTTCTTAGATCCAGTTCCACTCTTCTCATTTCTATGTCACACATGGCGTTTTAAATCTTCAGAGTTCTAAAACCAGTGAAAAATGCAATACCCAAAAAGGTAACTATGCAGAGAAATCGTCAGCAGTCGGCGGCGCGTGAGTCGGCACGAAAACGAAAGTGCCGACAAAGCCGACGGGAGAAAAAGGGGTCGCTGGCAGTCGGCCAGGCCTCGCACTACGTACATTGACTGATACAGGCGGGCCTAGCGATTGTCGGATTTCAGACGACTGTCGGCAAACATGCAGGTCTATGTGTATTAACAGGAGGCACAGCTGGCCCGGTGGGCGAATCATGCGAATTTATGGGATGCGCTTTATCGATCGATATTTCCAGTGTTTTTCGGTTACAAACTACGGGAAGCATGGAGCCAACAGTTGACTCACTTGTTTCGCTTCATAAAAAATTTGGTGAAGTTATGTGCAAGATCTTTTAGCTATAACGGACGAAGTCAATCACACCTGTATTGCAACAGCTCTCTGAACGGAAGCAAAGCCGCAGTCGTTCTCAAAGTGTTTGAAGTTTGATCCTGTACAGAAAGAAAACGACTGAGAGAAAGAAAAAAACTCATTACTTGCACCCGTCTCTCCTTCCCTCTCCGATATGCAATCTCAGTGGCACTTCGTTTCTCCCCTTCATCAGGCTCCTGCTGCTGTTGGCTGACCACATCCATGATGGTTGACCTCCAAGTCGAATCATGAGCTTTGAAAAACACCTGCAACAAGAACAAAATTCTTATTTCATGCGCATTATGGACAAAATTTTATGTTTTCTCACCCCACTGAATGCACCTGGCCATTTCTAAGGACTCAAGTATATTTGAGCACCAACATTCTTATACATGAATAATGTCCCCATTCATTGGGTCAGGTCACTTTGAGCTGCAACATAATATTTATTCTCTTTGAAAATCTTAATTTTTGAGGGAAAAGCCCTGGGCCAGTGGTTGATTTTGGCCTGATAGGAAAAGAGTTAAAGAAACTGCAATAAAATCTTGATTTAAATTTTGGGCTTATTATCATAGCTGCCACATAGGAATTTTAAAAAAGGAGGAAATCCCTGCGAAGGCATACGCGCGCTCTCCGAAACCAGTGAGATCCAGAGGCAATATATACTGGAAAAATCTAGCCTACTGTTTTGGAAGGGAAAACTGTCATATTGTTGACCATAGGCAAGTGAATTAAAATGTATTTGAAAAAAAAAAAAACAACAACAAAAAACCTTAAAGGCACTAAGTTGATTAACGAGCATTCGAGTCAATTTGACACAGTTTGGACTTGGTGACTAAAAATCCAGTGTTTTTTGCCCGCTGGTGTCTCATAAAAAGATTTCTTTCACTTCAAACTTGTTCATAGACGTAGAGCAGTATCGGATCAAGGAGGCAGGCCCCTGTCGTGTGTTTCTTATTTAGAGATCTAAACTAAATTAAAATTATAGCCTAGGCTATCTAATCTAGATCTAGATATATCTAAATATGTGTAGATCTAGATTATATCTAGAGATTGATTATCGAGATCTAGATCTAGATTCACTTCCACAGCCACAATAGCCGTCATGTAAACAAACGGGACTGCAATTGTACAGGAGTGCTGCGGGCGGCGATTTCTTTCGCACCAAATGCAAAGTGCAGCAAGCAGCTTGTTAAATTTTCTAATGAATTTTTCAAGTCGAACACTGGCTGCTTCTTTCTCATTCCAGCTCCTTTTAATTTTGCATTCTGCATCAATTTCTCTCGAATTTCCGCCGTTTTCAATGACAACTCGGCGCGCCAACGTCCCGATGCCCGATCGACACTGTGCTGCTCCACAACAATAAACAATGTGAAACTAGCGCTGGGCCTAGAAGAACGGAAGTAGAAAGCTACGGGCAGACATGCGCAAGCCGCGTTTTCGTCTCTCTCCCGGTTCGGCGTTTTCCTCGGGGGGAAAAAAAGTATGAAATTTGCGACCAAGAGCGGTCCAGC